ACTCCCAGGACAAATAATAGTGGACATGCTGTTTCAGTTCTCTGGTAGTGTACGGGTATTCAACAAGTATAAATGTTGGTGTTCCCAGCTAAAACTGAACATTGAAAACTGTTGTGTTCAATGAAAGATTCAGAACATGTGGAAGATTGTATGGAAAATTAATAAATGCATGAGGTGCTACAACCAACAATAGTTTCATAGATTGCTGTTTACGATCGCCGTTTCACCACTACAAGGGTGGCTTCCACGGGCAGGTCTTTACCTATCACTGTCGCATACGACTTATTTACCACTTCCGTGTCACTGAGAATGTTCTAGAACCGTACTGTGTCTGGGTGGAATATTCTAGATTTTTTTTTAGGAAATGGTTGAATAGGTAATAGAACACTGTAGGAGGCAATAGAAGGTAATGGAACATTTTAGAAATTGGTAGTAAGTTCCAGACTCATTATGTTTGCTGATGTAATGGTCTATTTATAGACAGTGGGGGTATATATAGGGGAGTTGTTCAGCACTGAGTTCAGATCGGAGATCTCGTTGAATTGTATTGGAGTTTAAGTATCTAGTTATTGGAGGTTTGGAGTTTTACCGCGTTATTGTACTTGGTGTTTGCAGAGTATAATAATACCAGTACCAGTTGAAACCTCATCTGTTGGCTCCGTGTTCGTATTTTATCATCGCCGCCAGGGAAGTCTTTCTGTTACTGTTGCCATTTTGGTATTTGAACCATCACACCTGTACTATACCTATTACGGTAATATTACGTTGCGTGTGACAATCACACATGGAAACAGTATGGAATAATTATACGGTGTGCAAGAAAAATAATAATAATAATAATAATATATATATAAACTGTAAAAAAAATAAAAATGAATAAACAAAAGTAAAAATGTCAAAGGCCACGTGGTATAAATCATATGCGAATGAAATGACGCCAATGTACAGTGCATATACAGCTAAACGGATGCATACAAGAATAACTTCAAAATGAAATAACACTAATGCTGATACGAATCACTAAAATATTGAGGAGTATCATGTGATGCACATGCACATATTGTGTCTTCTTTCACTTCAACCTTTTATAGAATGGGTGTGTTTGTTTGTTTGTTTGTTTGTCTGTTCTACTATGCGGATACAGTTTTAAAACAGGAAAATGGATTGGATTTTCAAAACATTTTGACAATGAAAATTATCACTTTAAACAATTCGCAATTGTGTTCACATCCAAGGACTGTATCGACCTCAACTATGATGTTCAGACGCTTCAACTCTCACCCCGAGCCGTTATTTCTGTAAATCCACATTTCGATATACACAGGACATCATTTCCACAGTCGGACCCTGGATCGAAAACCAATGGAATACTAAGTAACATAGAAATCATCCACTATGTGTCGCCGTCCGGGCTTAGAACAACGGCTCTGTGTCACTAGTGTATGGCACACTAGTATGTTAACATGAAGTGCGCTAAAAAGTAGGACAATGGCAGAGTTTTGTTCGATTTTAACATCAACTCATTGAATAGTTTATGTCCATGCATAATCATTGAAAATAAAGGAATTTAAGAAAGATCTGCATTAAAATACCAGAACGGTAACCCCACACACGCATAGCTATTATACACACACTTTCGTAAGAAGTGTCCATAATTCTAATTCAAGTAATATAATACAAGTAATATCGGTACTAACATAAAACGTTATATAACTTGTGGGTAATTCAATTCAAACCATAATTTATTTGGTCTGAAGGACGAAGACGACATTGTCACCAGTCATTGATTACACTGAATTGGTACGTGATTAATTAAATCGATCTACATACTGCATTAGAATTTCAACGTCATTGCCATTGTGTGGTAATTGCATTGTTAAGGCATTGTTTTACGTAACAATAGCAGTGACAGTTCACCTTAAATCTTGTGTTACAACATTAACCAAAAGTAAATAATTGTTTCGTTGAATTTGTACCACGCTCGTTACACCATATTTTTTTTAAAACAAGTACCACCCATGATGAATGACTGTAAAAGACTTTATTTTAGCTAGAATTAGTTTTCGCTTGAAAGATATTGTCACTGTTATGTGTGAAGTTCATCGATTGTTCATGATTTGAATGTAAAATACAAGAAAACGGTGTTTTCACTGATTCATTCCTTCAGCAAAAATACATTACAAGTGAGTTTACAGTACACATATTCAAATTTCCAGACATTACACCGTAGCTATATTAAAAACTAGATTCGTACTATTATCGCTGGTGGCGCTGTCTATCACACTGGCCACTGAAAAGTTGACACTGTCGAGGCAGCGTGTTTGGTTGATGTCACCTAGTTTACAGCTGTTGCGTTGGGTGTCTGTCAGATATATATTTCATCATCAACATGTACCGGCAGCTTATTACTAGCAATTCAATTTAATTTCTCCTCACCATAGAAAAATAATTTCTATATGTGAATCGTGGAGTAACAACATAACAAATCTGCACACAATACAGTCTATATCACGACCAACTTGAATTAATATATTGCGGACATAGTTAGTATATTACAGATTTGTTTTCATTCTGGCGTAATATCCGGGTCTATGACGTCAATTAATCTCATCATCGACATACAATACCCGGATGTTGTATGGTTATGGATGCACTACGAACGCCACTTTTTCGAAAAAGTGTTTTGAAAGGTTTACAGTCCAGTCCATCGGAGATATTATCATGATTGTGTTAATAGATGAACACCAATGAATAACTTGATTGAGAAAGATAAAACAGCACGCGTCAAGTGTAAATTGCAATTGTTTTTATACTTGAAATTCGTTATACACCTGATTTATTAAACAGCGCCACCAAGAGATAAACAACACGTATGTACAATACTTTGTTTTTACGGGGTTACGAAAATCGGCGACAATAATACAACAACCAACATTGTGTTGATATTTGTGTACCAGTCTAACATTGTTTTAACCTTCGACACTATAATCACGTACATATAAAAAAAATCAATCATTAAAACGCTGAACATGGTGGCAGCAACCCATTGTTATTTAATTTATTCAAGTAATATCAACAACAAATGGCGGTCTGCAAAAGTCTCTAAATATTTTGAATGATTACTGCACTAAATGGAAACCACAAATTAATTTAAACAAAACAAAAATTTTAATTTTCAATAAAAAATTATTAAAGACTAGAGAGATGTTCTACTATCAAGATAAAAATATTACTTGTGTTAATTCATATACATATCTGGAAGTCACAATACAGGCAAATGGTAAATTCAATGAAGCAAGGAAAAATATGGCAGATAAAGCACCCAGGGATTTATATGCTATGTCAAAATACTTGCCAAAAGAAACTGACTGCAAAACAGCTATTCATATTTTTAAGTCATGTGTAAAACCTGTCTTATTATATTGTGCAGACATTTGGGGAATGGAAATCTTAGATAACAATAAATTGGATAAAACATCTAAAATAAAACTATTGAATCTAAACAAATTTTCCACAAATATTGCATGTAGAGCAGAGCTGGGGGAATTTCCATTACTTGTTGATATTGTTGCGACAATTTAATAAAGGATTCAAAACAAATTATGAATGTGCTAAAAAAGGATTACATTGAATTCTGGAAAAAATGCCTTAAAGAAAAAACAAAGCTTAGAACATATGTAATGTTTAAATATACTTATGAACACTATTTATTGCTACTTCCCCTCAAAGAAAGAATCACTTTATGTAAATTTAGAACCAGTGACCATAACCTTGCTATTGAAACAGGTAGACACACTCAACCCAAAACGTGAACTTACATAAACTGTTCTCAAAATGAAACTGAAGTTGAATTACATTTCTTCATGGATTGTCATCTCTACAACAATTATTGAGATGACATGAAGGAAAATATTGAACTCCCTAAACAAATAGATAACAAAAAACATTTACATATCTGATGAGCAATAATAACCAACATATAATTAAACAAGTAGGGAAGAATATTTACAGATCTTTTGAAATCAGAAATGAAAATTCCTGATAAAATCATTACTATAGGTACTTTCATTTACTATTACTTTTATCTTATTAACTAACTCAACTTTCTTGTATTACTTTATTGCTGTAGACTGATAGAAAGATTGTATTTCTAAGGATGCAATAAAGATTATTATTATTATATTTCAAACATGATACAAACTAATGTATATTGCGCATGAGCAAGAAATGTCACAAGGTACGATAACCATATACCATACATCTTCCACATTTCTTCCAGTTGTCTCAATTTTAAATGATCACATATTGGCAAGTGTTCCAGTTATGCTAGGTTCTATAAATGGGCATATTTTTAGTTGTCCATTTCTTGTGACCATACACGTTTTCTAAAAAAAATTTTTTATTTTGATGACAGTCGATAAAAATTATTTGATATCTACTCAGTATTCAAATCGACAAATTTTCATTCACCTTGTTATACAAAGCACGATTCATAATAAAAATGTGTAATGTAATTTTACATTGAATCAAATCACACAGAAAATGAAATATTATACTAGACATGTCAAGATCTAGTTTGTTGATCACATGACATAATTTGTTATGTATTGAAAAATAAAACTTTCAAAAATTGTGATTTGTTTATTCTAACTTAATATGTACATATCAAAATGTAATAAAATATATCTTTTTAAGTACAATAATAATATAGTAATAATTTTAAACACAGAAACTAAATATACAAATTAATATAAATGTGTTATATATTGTAGTGCATTATGCTTTGAAGTCACTAATCACTGAAGCTCATATCTTTGTTGTTGAGTACACTGACTGAAAGATCATTATATACAAATGATAGTAAGTAATAAACTTATAAGCGTACTTCTACAATTTTTATTACAACAGTTTACCCCTAATCTCTCATATATATTGCACAACAAATTCCATTACACTAATCTTTAACACTCGTTAATAAATCATAATCAGTTGTACTTTCTTCATTGTGCAAATACTTTAATACAGTTATTTCCCTGATCAGCTACCACAATCTTACCAAATGGCTTATCATCAGTGACATAGATACCTGCAGGTTGTGTCAGTCCATCCTGGACACTATCAATACGTGATACAAATACACCATGTGAATCATACTTCATAACTCTGTTATTATTATAATCACAAACGTATATATTGCAATCATCATCACAAGCAACATCACGCGGGTTTGAAAACTGATTATTACCACTCCCCCGACTGCCAAAACTGAATAAGAAGACACCATCGGGATTACACACCTGGATACGGTGGTTGCTGTGTTCAGCCACTATGACATTGCCCTTGTTATCAACTGTGATTCCCAGTGGAAAGTTAAACTCACATTTCCCACTACCGTAAGTACCAAATGATTTGATATACTCTCCATCTAGAGTGTATATTCTAATACAATAGGAGGAGTGATCACTTACATACACTCTGTCATTCACAGGACTAATAGCAATACCCATAGGGGATGTCAATTCCTGATCCCCAAAGCATCTAATTATCTTACTGTTTTCATCACATACAACAACCTGTTTGTTTCTATTATCTGCTATGAAGTAATAACCTTCTTTTGATATAGCTACATACCTTGGGTAAAACTGGGATGTGAAATCAGTGAATTGTAATACACATTGATGTTGACTGTCATTTAAAGAAAACAGTTGAACTCTACTGTTACCTTTATCACATACAGCAGTTACCCCATTCTTACCCACACAAACACCTTCTGGTGTACTGAACTGACCCCTCCCAGAACCAGGCATACCATATTTACATAATAAACCCTTATTAAGAATGACATTAATTACAGCTGGTGAGCCTTCAATAGACTTGTTACCTATACAAACTGATAATTCATGTTTTCCTAATACTTTACATTGGTATTTCAGAGATATTGTACCGTCTTGGTTTCCCATCACTTTTACTTTTTGTTTAGTCTTATCACATAACTTTATGTTAGCTCTGATATCCATTGTATCGAACATGGGTTGTTTTATGTGATCATCAGTGGTTGTCAAGGGAACAGTTATTTCTTCATCAACCCTTGCATATTCTGGAACACTTTCAAATTTCAAGTTGAATCGATTATAGATTAAGTTTCCAAGTGTATGTAATTCACAGTAATCACATGTTTGAAATTCATTGTATTCATCTGCTATAGGCTGTTGTTGAGTTGTAATTCTCAGCAGTTCTTTAATTAATCTGTGACGTCATTCTCTTCCTGGCTGACATCATCTGTGAAGCATTCCCATAATGCATCAGTTTCTCTCCCAAGTCACTTGCATGCTTCATGTCATTCTCTGCAATTTCAAGCTCTTTAATTTGTGCTTTTAAGTTCTCCTTCCGGGATTCATATTCGTGTTTCATTTCCTCCATCAGTTTATTTCCATTTTTACGGATCTTGACTGTGATCACTTCAATTGTCTTTTCAATGTGCTGATTTAATTTCTTTTTCTCTGTTTCGAATTGATTCTCTAAAGATTCTGCTGTACGTTTAACTTCCTGTTTACTGCCAGTTGCTTGCGTTTCTTTTTCTTTCAACTTCTCCACCATCTCAACTAGATACCCTTTATATTCTGAGGCTGCATCGCTCAGGTATCGGTAGTTATGTTCAGTTCGTACGTGATCCAGGGCAGTGCACTCCAAACATATTAGAACGTCACACGAATCACAGTAAAACTTCACCTGGTTGTCATGGTGATTGGTACAGTAAAGTGGGGGCTGTACTTTAGCTGGGTCAGTGGATCGTATATTATTGAATGTTTCAAGCGACATCAGACGGTGAGACTTTAAACAATAAATCTGTTTATGCCCATGGGTGCAGTCATCACAAAGCCCAATTGCGCAGTCCAGACATCTACTCTTTGCTGTTCTTTTCTCACAACTTCCACACTGTATCTCCTCTGTGGCATGTTTATCTTCCCTTTTTCTGTCAGCGAATAAAACAACGAGTTCATTCAGAAAAAAGTTGTTGGGAATACTTGCCAGTCCTTCAGGCAGGTCATGACCTCGTCTGCAAATGGGACATAATACCGTCTTTCCACCGGCTTTCTCAACGAGCTTATCGATACACTGTTCACAGAAGCTGTGCAAACACGGTAGAATTCTCGCATCTCTGTACCGCTCAGAGCAAACGGCACAGATGAGAAAGTTCTCGTCGATTTCTTCTAGTAGTTTTAACCCAGCAGTCGCCATTGCTGTCGTAGTTGTGATGACCTGGTACAGGTGATAGATAGTCGCGCTGAGTAGCGTGACGGACCCTTTAAGACCATAACAATTATCGCTATGTACAAGCTAAACAATTTAATCGTTTTGATTTATCACATACTGTCGAACCATTTGAAGGCTCATTGTAGTAAAACTGGGTAGCTAGTTCAGCAGTTTTGTTGACGTAATTACGCCGACAATCGCTCGCTGATACGAAATCATTATGTGCTCGAATGCAGAAAGCTAAGTGGTCATAGTGTCTACTGAAACTGACTAGTGCGTGGAAATCCACTGAAATTCGTGGAATTGGTTACGTTGGTGGGTGTTAGTGGTGATTTGATTTGCTAATATTAAATGAAATGTGTAATCATGAATATTCTTATCAATATAAAGAACAATAAAATATATTAAAATAGAATACAAATAAATTAAACAGAAGTATAATTTCATTATTTGTTGAAAGTAGAGAATAGCTAAGTATTAGAACTGCATAGTATCTTACATTTTCAACTGCTTTAACTGCAGAGATATTGCCATGAAAAAACCACTAGCTGCCCCAAAATAATCATTTAATTTTACATTTCTTGTATATTTGTTTATTTTTGTTCTGTTTTACTTATTGATTTAATTTTCTAATTGTTTACTTTAATAGTTTGTCTAGCAACCTCAAATACATGATCACGCTGTATTTTATTTTTTTTCCCTAGAAAAGTCTCGTTTACCTATAAGGGAGTCAAAAATAAAAAAAAATAAAAAATCAGAAAAAAATTCATAAATTGCACAAAAATGAAGATATCATTACAAAATGGACAACCTTGAGATAGGTCTGCCCCAGATCCCTACATACTAAATATGAAAGCAATTTGACTGACGGTTTTGGAGAAGAAGTCGAAAATAACACTTTTGGCTAAAAATATAAAAAAATAATCATGAAAAAGATTCACAAATTTAAAAATAATACTACCACATCAACAGACCACACAGAGGACGAGCCATGGTACCAACATGCTAAATAGCAAGTCAATCAGAGTGACATTTTTAAGAAACTGACAAAAATATCAATTTTCAGCTTTTTTGACCCAATTTCCAGATTTGTTGATCCAATTCTCTTGAACAAATTACCATCTTCAACCAATAAGGAATCTTCATACCAAAAATCAGAACTAAAGGTCCAGTGGTTTTGGAGAAGTCGCTTCATGATCTCTATAGCAGTCCTTTGCAGGCCCGTAGTTTTTTTTTTTTTTTGGGGGGGGGG